GAGAGGAACAGGAGGTGAGCTGGCACTTCGTAAAGCAGAAGCGGCCAGTGGAATACGCCAAAAACAAGCCACCATTCCGGACCTCCCCCGGAAAACTAGACGCACCTTTCAAATTAATGAAGCACCACCGCAGAAAAAGTGATCCGCGTACTCTTTGAGGGACAGGAGTGGAGAACACATAAGCGACTCAACAGTGGTATCTGAGGTTCACAGAGAACACTATGCGGGTCTATGTTCAGCTCTAGCGTCCTCGTCGCATCCACTCTTGTCAAAGCCTCTACCCCGACCCGGTCCTCACGGTGGAGGGCATTCGTCAACTCTTGCACAAGGTCAACCCATTCTGCGCGTTAGGGCCCGACGAGGTCCACTCAAGGATCCTTAAGGAAACGTCATCTACGTCGGCAGATCATTTTTTCCTGGCATTTCGTCGGTCGCTGACGAAGGCCGCCTTCCCTCTGCTTGAAGGAAGCACTTGTCACACCAATCCACAAAACTGGTGGTCGACTATTGCTTGGGAGCTACGGGCCTATAAGCCTCACCAGCGTTCCATGCAGGGTGATGGAACGCATTCTGAAGCGAGCTATTCTAGATCACCTTACCTCCCATAGCTTGATATCTCCAGTTCAACACGGAGTTCTTCCAAACCGTTCCTGCTCGACGAACATGCACTTGTTAATGGACAGCGTGACCCAAGCCAATGACGAGGGACGCATATCTGATGACAAAATTTTCAACATATTAAAAGCATTTGAAAATGTGCCACAAGTTCCGCTGCTCCACAATCAAGTCTAATGGGATTCAAGGTAAAATCCTACACTAGATCAAGGTGTTCTTATCAGACATATCATCCCAGGAGAAGGTAGGTTCTACCTACTCTTCTCCAACGCCGGCCTCCATTGGAGTTCCCCAAGGCACCGTTTTGAGACCACTGCTGTTTTTATATAGGTCAGCGGCTTTCCAGGTATTTTTGCATATCCATGTGTACTTTTTGCGGACGACTTGAAATCCTGCAGTTTCAAATCTAGTGCCTTTCAGCTCGATATGGACACCGCAAAGCAGTGGTTGTTGGACTGGCACCTTCCTCTGAATGAAGAAAAGTGCATCCGTATATCATTTGGAGTGGACTCAGCGTACGCCCTTGTCATGCATGGTCAGAAAGGACCAGGAAAAAAGCGATTTGGGTATCTGGCTCTCCTCAACCGGTCGCTTCATTGCACCATGAGAAATCGGCCCAAAAGGCATTCACCATTTTGCAGGTAATTCGGCGTGTGTTACTCGTCAGAGCGCCCATTGATTACGCTAATCGAATGGTCTACCAAGACGCACGGAAAACGTATCTCACATTGATTCCAGCGAGCCGGCAGGAGCATTGTTTCCGGCCAAGAATTCGTAGACCATGAAACGCGTCTCGTAGTGCTTGACCTATTGCCTTTTGAGTATCGTCACCCCCGAAAGGACCCAATTCTTATTTCTGCCATGTTTCAACTAGGCTTGGCCATAAGGCTTTTCACCCATGATCCAGTATACCCACGACGGGTACGTGGTAAGATTTGCAAGCTCAGAGCGCACATATTCATTAGGCAATTTTTCTTATTTCGGATAGTAGCTGCGTGGAATAACCTTCATCCAACGGTTGTCCATGCACCTAACCACCCAAGGTCACTCATGGCCAGCAATGGTTTTCAGTTTTAGTTCATGCCACCTGACTGTCTTTGATCTAGTCGAACCTCATGCCATTTTTTCCCAAAAAGTTGGGAAATAACCTATTATTGCTATATCATCGGATGTTCCCACTGTTTGTGACATTGTCCTCTTTTTGTGCTAACCGCACCCCAACAAATCCCTCAGTCATGCTCCATTCTGACTGTAAAACTATGATCATGCCAGGCGGTATGCCACCCACAAGTTGGGAATAAACATTATTATTATTATTTGCGCGAGTCATGGTGCTGGTAAGCATACTGTCCCACGCTGAGAACTCACAGGGCAATGCTACAGCTTTTTCACCTGTGCCTTTCAGGTAGGCACAGAAACATAATCGATCCAGGAAACTTTGGCTAAGCCCTTGATCCTGTGTATCAATCCGTGAATCCGTGAATCCAGCACCCAGTACGAAGCTCTTTTGGATTGTGTCTTGTGAGTTCTGGCGCTAGCCAGGTTACTGTCTCGCGCTGCGGGCCTATAGAAAAATTCTACACCCTTTTTCCACTTCCACAATTCAGGTGAATGTAAGCTACCAACCAACGAGAGCAAACCCGGCACGGAAAACTTGAGTGGAAGTCTCAATCCCGTCTATCAGTCCGTGAAGTCACCACGGATAAACTCGTGCCTGACTTGATACATATATGGCACTCAATCTGAACATGGTAAACATCGGTGATATGGATAGGTACGAAATTATATGGAGATGACATGGTACAACTTTGTGGCTGAGGGAAAACTGGATATGTGCATAATCGTACTAACACCACCGATCCATGCTAAAGTAAATCCTGTCAGTTTTGAACTGAAAGCTATAGTCGTCGCACGAAATTGGTGACCTTGAGCATTCCGGCGATGATTTGTTTGACCTGCGGACGGCGAAATGGGAGTGACGGGCAACATAAGGAGCGCGAAGAAATGGGTTTCTTGTCTCGAAAATGTAGATTAAGCTGAAAGCGGGTAAACTCACTATGTGTGCGGGATTCAAAGAGTTTAAATCTGATTTGTCAGTGTGGACAGAGACTTGATATCGAGTAAAGCAGATCGTCATCGGAGAAACAGTGAGTAAATTTGTCGATAGAGCGATGCAGCACTACTTCAGGAAGGCTAGTAACATGAGGTCGACGCGCAGATTCAATGCATCTGGAGGGTTCTGCTAACGTCCCTGGGTGTATTTTATATGAAGCGGTATTTCGTTTGAACAGTCAGTAACAGAGGACGGGAGCTCAGCAGACAACGCTTAGTAAACTACACAGAGACAACCACACTCTATAGCACCACACTCTTTCATGGACAGCCCGGCACATCTAACTTCCCTTGGCAGATAAATTGATCGCACCCTCCAGTTTGCGCCGGTCAGATGACATAATTCGTATGCCAGAGGACGGATTTCTTCGTAGATCCTTGTATGAAATGGAGAAAACTTAGGGGCGGTCAGTCCATGACCTGACAACGAAGCGTGAAAGCTTCTATCAGTTAACTCAGTCGCGTTAGTAACAGCCGTCTCCCCAAATGGGAAACTCGGGACGAGACAAACCACTGGTTAGTGATCCTGAAGGATATGGTAGTGTCAGAGCTATTCCCCTTCACTGCGTAGCTCTCACTCCCTGTCATACTAGACAAACAAACATTTGACATCAATGAACTGAGTGCACCGTCGCTTCTAACGCGTGGTTCTAGTTCCTCGGTGAATTCAACTATAATCGCTGGGCCCATTGCATTTCGGCGCACTGTGTATGAGCTGAAAACTACATTGCAAAACGTCGAGCATACTACTGCGGTAGTACACGTTTTTATGAAGCAGGTCGTGCGTGTTCTACTCGTCAACCTGGAACACAAGGCGACTATTCATTAGACCCCTATCCACTGATCAACCTGATGTGAGAGACTCTGTGGCATAGCATATTTTGTCAGGTACACAAACTTCCACACCGCGATAAGGTCGAGTTTCTTTTGGGCGGTCTAAAAGTGTGGCTACCAATGGTTCCACCGAACTTCCGGACTGAATTCCGTAGTCCCTCATGTAATTTGGGGTAGATGCTCCGAATCGCGGCTGTTAGTCGATTTAAATGGAGTCATCTTTACCATTTTCTCTCCAGACCGAGGCTTAACTTCCTCGAATGCTTGCATCAGATCAGGACTAGGTATTCATCCCAGCCCCTTATTTTTTCACAGTAATGCTTTGGAACAATGATTTTGCAGCATTTATTTCCCACTGTCGATTCAAATGATGATGACATGATGACCTTAGAAAATGTCAGAACGAACAGCTCGGGACCAGATGAACACAGACTTTGTTTCATCATCTATAAGAGGTGGCATAGCACCATCCGGTTTTGTGAACCCTTGCATATTGTACCGGTTCAATGGCTTCGTCTTCTGTTACAGTTTTTGTACTGGTATGGTATTCACTAGTACTGGCTTGTGGTTTTTCATACCATTGAGCTTATAACGAATATCTTGTCTATTCTGCGCCACGCTGCCGATGAAGACTTTACCAAATGGAGCACTTTTCAGTGGTTTGTGCGACGCGTAATAGGAGAATCAAGTACAATGAGTCATGATTCACTTAGTTCTGCTTTCTTTTTTAGCTAACCGGACGCCCGTCTAGTCGTTCGTGGTCACCTTTCCCATTGTAATTTTGCTTGACTCTCTTCGGATGCCAAACTCGCTGAATCAGATGATCTGCTAGACATTCTGACCACGATTCGGCATGTAAGACATCCTTCATCCTTGCTGCTTTTTGTTTGATTGGCCTTCCGTATTCATTAGTTCTGCATAGATTGCTCTTGTATTTGTTTGCACACAACACTGAATTGTGTCTTTAGAGTGCAGTTTACACCACAAATTCAGGTGCTATATGCTCATAATTTGGGAATCCGAATGTGACACTGAATACCAGCTGTTTGTGCCACCCACCCATAATCTTCCTAAATATAAAGTAGTCATTTGGAGTTGTTTGAAAGAATCAGAAACTTGGCAGCTTTGCACTGAATGCGACAGCTCTGATTCTTGAACACTAATGACTGCGTGATCAAGTTGTCCATCACTGTCATCAACCATTTTTGAATTAAGTGTGGGATTCCTCGTTCAGGGGGTCGTCACTTGTTATTTCGAATGAGTCCAGTGGTTAGCGTTTTGATACTTTGTCACCAGGCAGTAAACTGTCCACTTTTTGGTAGCTTGCACTTAGTACAGGGTTGAGCGGAAACAGTCCTAAGAAGTGGACAGTCTCATGACATGCGGAGCACGCGTCTTAGCGTAACCCATCGCGGGAGGACTCCTTCTTAAAGTCTAAGAAGTGGACAGTCTCATGACATGCGGAGCACGCGTCTTAGCGTAACCCATCGCGGGAGGACTCCTCACTAAGCTCGCATATGGCAATTCAGTCTTGGGAATCCAATGTTCCCACTAGACAATGCTTTGGAAACACCTCTGATCAAATGGCGAGAGTTCTCGTGCATCCTGAGCGCGCAGAGACCATGTTTTTTGGGTCACACCGTCACTATGCATATACTGCCCTTGACAGACGAAATGACGTCACCCGGGTGCCTTAGGTGTTGGAGGTTGGTGAGTGCTGCCGTCGCCTCCAGCCGGTTCACCGGAACCTATACATTTGCTGAGGTAAGTTACGACGGTCGGCTGGTCTTCAAGCTTGCGATTTAGGTTTGATCTCAACTAGCAGCACTTCATACTTCACAATCGTGAGGTGCATGTCAAACTTTGTGGTAAAATAATTTAGATTATTTCAAATGACATCTATGGTTAATCTGAACCAAGGAGAAAAACACTTGCTTATCCAATGCCTGAATGAACTCTCGGGGAGCATTTAAACTGAGGTTTCAGAGTCAGGCACAAAAGTAAATAAGCACGTCAATAATAAGACTGAAGATGACTGGTGAGAGAGGACAGTCCTTTCACCACGGAACGTGGTAAAACCAGGCGACAACTCGATGTAAGTCGTAAGCTCCCATAGGAGTTTGCATACAGTACTTGTATTATCCGTGACGTCAAGTACTTCGGGATTCCTAGTGTTCCTCTTTTAGATCCACGAGAAATTTTGTGTTATGGTATGACTTCCGTTCACTGACAGTATGTATGGAAAACCATGTAGTAGACACGTCTTCAAATGTGTGAAAAAAACTCGGAATCCTTGTTATCCATGCCTTCATTAGTGTCAACACTGACGTGTATTGGTTGATGAAGGACGAAGTGCGTCTGGTGTGCGGAAATTTTTAGCAGGAGATATATTTCAAAGCGTTGGAACGCTTTTGGAATTCTGTTCTTTCATAGGGCTCATCGATTTCGCTGGGTTCTACGAATATCGCCAGTTTGAGTATTTTCTTTAAGGGCTTAGATATGCTGTTTGTGACTTGCACTACCATGGTTTAGTTTGATGGCCGTGATTGTTGAGACTCTGAATTGATGTTGATGGTCGCTATTTTGATGCACTTGTGCACATTTGTATGATTGTTGATACAGTAAAACCTCTACAACGAGCACCTGGAGATTTATCGAATGTAGTTACTTCCTGGTAGTACACGGATTGGAATGTACGGCAACATGACATTAAGGTTCTGTCTCTAATTTTGAAGGAGTGTGAATGGTCAGATGCGGATCGGTTCACCCTAGCTATTGGCACCAGAAAAAGTAAAGCTTTGTCGTTTCGATCACAGAAGCTTCATGTCAACTGCCACAATGGTCACTGTGGAGGCTTAGTTTCCCTAGAGGAGTTTCGGGGGTGGTTTAGGTTTGGTTCTTACCAGTCTGGCAGCTGGAAAGTATGAAAAACATTGCAAAAAACGGGCAAATACTGTGGGTTTCTTGATGCTATTCTTGGTGAGTTACTCATTTCTTGCGGAGGCACATCAGGGTTTGGTGCAAGCCAGTGTCCCTCTGGCACACGTATGGCTAAACTGTAACGTGTTCAGAAGCACCACCGTCCTTCCAGAATTTGGAGATTATCATTGGTCCTTAGGACTTTTCGAACTAGTTTCCAATCTGTGCATTACCGCCACCAAATTTAGGTGTTCTTTAAACATTCTTTGTTAAGCATTCTTTTGAATATGCCACTATCGTACCCTGAGATCCGGTATGGTTTTTTCTTGTCCACAGGTCATCTTCGTTTGTCGACTTCGACTGGACATTATCCCTAGTACATGCTGGAGCGTATTTGAATATTGACGATATACTTGCATCCAGCGAGAGAACCACTTGTCGCCTCCGTGTTTCTCTCCCTGGACTGGCCCCTCTTCTATTGTCTGATTCGACAAATGTCTCGTTTGGCCAGCACCGTTCACAAGACACAGCGCTTGCAGAGGAGTCATCTGTTCAGGTCCAGACTGACGTTCCAGCAGGGTCAAAGCTAGAATTACCGGTATGGTTGGCTCTGGCTTTGGGGAGTGGTCGTCGTCAACTGGCAAGCGTTGATCTACCTCTTATTTATAAGGTATGAGTGCTTCCATCTCCGATACTCCTCCTATACTTTGAAGGATGCGTTCACCGAAGTATTCGATGCTGATCCTTGTGTGGTTGATCTGAGGAGGAAAGCGCCCTTGTACTACTTACTGATGTATAATCTACTTGGCGTTGGATCAGCACAAGCTGGGCGAATGGCGGCAACAGCCGCAAGGGTATTTCAGGTAAGTTTCGCTCGTAAACGTAAACGTAGAGCTGTTTTGAAAAACGGAGCAACACCATCAGCGCCGCATATCACACGATTGCGTGGGTGAGCTTTGACCTCCAAATCATTAGGCGCTACTATACTTGTACTCGAGGTGTATTTTCTCCGAAAATGTTTGAGATTCAGGATGTTGCTTAGTCATGCGAACTTTTGCAACTAGGCTTGTCACCCGTTTACGGTTGCCAAACACATTGTTATGTTGAAGGATTGGCACGTCAGGGCTTACGATAGAATTTTAACATCAAGACCCAGTAACACATTCTTGAGGATATTCCCATAGATTGCTGAGATTATGGCAGTAGCCCTTTAGTCTGCTTAGTTGTTTCCAAGCGACTCACTGGAGCAAGTGTGTCATTCAGTTTTATAGGCTTCTTTAGAGACCGTGAGAAATCGCTTATTACTAGTCCTTTATCTCATACTGTAAAGGTTTTCGGTTTACTCCTGAGTAAGACTCGCGCAAAAATGAGTTTAACCGATCCTCATTTTTAATTAAAATAATTTTGTACACCAATACAAATGAGGGAGGAGCACGTGTTGGTTTTACGATTTTTTTTACCTTTGTGGGGAAGCAAGCAGTTCTGAGGCCCTTTTGGCCAAGTGACCAGGTCACTACAGTCGAAATAACCATCTTTAAGCTTTTTCGCCCTGTGCCTCTCTCATGTCGGTTACTTACGCCGTGCCTCGTTGATAGCCAACTGGCCAGTGTCCACTTGGAACATTTGCATCGTCCTCTCCGGAGAAATCGATTATTACTAGTCCTTCATCTCATACTGTAAAGGTTTTCGGTTTACNCTAGTCCTTTATCTCATACTGTAAAGGTTTTCGGTTTACTCCTGAGTAAGACTCGCGCAAAAATGAGTTTAACCGATCCTCATTTTTAATTAAAATAATTTTGTACACCAATACAAATGAGGGAGGAGCACGTGTTGGTTTTACGATTTTTTTTACCTTTGTGGGGAAGCAAGCAGTTTGTCTGTAAGCCCTTTCAACGACGGACACTCATGGGGGGCTTAGGGGGTTTCGAGAGCGTATTTCAACCGACTAATTTGGAGTGGCAGACCTTTACCGTAAGCGCAAGGCGATACGTTTCTTCTCATGGTTTTGATCGTCTTTTCGGGCCAGTGACCTACCCGATCTAGTTAGCGTAACTCAAAACGTCTTGAGCTTCAGTTATCCCTGATAAAATCGTTCTGTGTTATGCATTGCGCACAACTTACGTCGAACTCAAACGTCATTCTATTCATACATTTGGTTACTCATGTTGAAGTGAAGAATGCACATTGTGTGGTCGTTGAGGGTTTGTGATGGTCTCAAAACAACACCGATAAGTTACAATGCAAGTGGTCTTCCAAGTCTTCTTTGGCAAGTGCATTTCATCAAAACAGCTATCCAACGAGCTTTAATGTGAACCTTGAACTTGAATAGTTTTGGTCGCATCGGTTCCTGACTCCAAACACAACAACCGAACTTTGATTTTTCCTTTTCTACAACTGCGGCTTTCAACGATTTAATTACACATGTCGCTTTCGGTGGTAGAAACCTCACATACTTACGGGAGAATGTTAACCATATCTTATCGAGAAATAGGACAAGCCTCTGGTATTTGGGGTTTTCATGGCTGTTCAGTTTGCATAACTAATACATCAACAGCCTCACCACCAATGTCGTGTTAACTCATTGTGTGCGGATTTCGGAAATTCAGGATTGATGTTTAGCTGACCTTGAATCCAGGGTAACGAGGTTTTCCGTAATGATGTCGTGAAAAAGAAGCTATGATTGGCATGTCATACCTGGTTACTAGCAAACATTCTTCAAAATGATGACTTGGTTTAGCCTTGCACATCAAAGTCAAGACCTATCCATTACTAGCTCAGGAACTGTTTGAAATGCTGCATTTTGACCTCTGATGCATAGATTTCGCTCTTTATGGAGTTGTTTTCTTTTCGGCAGACATCTTCACAACCTCTGGAGCTTTCTCTTCTCGAAGGCGTTAAGTGGGTTAAGATTACCTGTTCACCTTTTCGAGTGCCCTTTGGCACCAGAAACACTTTGAAAATCTCATTCGGACTAGTTACGTAGTTCTCGTGAGTCCAGTGTATTTCAGCTCCACGGACTTCGCTTCCGTTGCCTTACTGAATAACGGCACTTGCTCAGACACCTGTAGGATGGAAATCAAGCCAACAACTTATAGTTTTGGGGGTGGCTACAAAAGAAGAGCTAGAATTGGTTGGATCATGATGAAATAACACAGTGCTAATATATTGAGGTTTATTACATGACATTTCCGGCACTGCGGACGACCTTCTTCAAGAGCGGAGAAATCAGAACTAGAAATTACGAGAAAAGGAAACCAAACTGACAGCTACCATTTGGAAGATTTCGCTTGATTGATCAAGGTGATTGAATCCAGCGCGTCATGTGTCTTACTGATCAGTTCTGACCAGTTGACATGAGCAAAGCGTCGTTTCGTTTGGTTGGGCGTAAAACCCAGATTCCGCGGAGCGTCGGTCCGTTGTTTCGAAACTCCTGTTTGAGTTGATTGATCTTGATCAAACCATGTGATTCTATGCTAGAGCGCGCGAAGCATTAACTCAACCTTTCTGTGGTTTCCGTTTTACGTTATGAGGGGTTCTGTAACGTAAAACGAGCATGTATCATGTGTTCTGCAATGCGCACCACAGTTACATACTGGTGTGAATGTGTATGCTGATGAAGCATGCGAGTATTCTATGGTCTGGTGTCCAACCTCCTCCTCGGCATCTGATGGAAGGTGAGGGTTACTACGGAATGTTGTGGAACCGATTTAGATTGTTCGTTTATTATTATTTAATATTCAATGAACGGCCAAGAAAGTTCACGAGGACGCATGAGAATGTTCACTTTTCAGAATCTGTGTGCAGACGAGTTATTTAGTTTCGTGCCTGATGAACTGCAACCGCTTAGTTCTTGTTTGCTAATGAACAACTTCTCAGTTAAGAGCATCCCTGCCTTCATTAGTATCTTTATGAGAAGCATTAAGATTCCCCTGGTGAATCTCGTACACCCAAACCGTTTTAACACCCAAGGAAATGGCTTTTTTCGGTTGGACTGGATGGTTTTTATTGTTTTGTCTATCTCAAAGTCAACTGAAACCGCGTGGCTTTTTTCGTAAGTCTACTAACTATCGGTAATCTGCACAGTCTATATAGGTCCAGTTTTTGGGCTGTCATCTTGCTTGCGACTGGTCAATCGTCTTATCTGTGAAAGATACTGGGTAGTCGTTTTAGCACAACATCTATTTTCATGACTTCAGTTTCATTAACTTTCGAGACTTCACTGCACAGCGGTTCGTTTCATATTCATCAAATAACATTATCAATAATGTGAACGCCGCTCAGAATAAGTTGTCTTTCGACATTCACACACATCAAAAATCGACTATTAGGCTGTTTGTTCACATTAAATTTTAACTTTGAAGAACCTGGACCTTAGACAAAGTTTGATTCCCAGTACTATTTCAGTGGGTAATAATATACCACTAATTTTTAGTATGACCATTTGTCAGTGAGTTTTGTGTCTGCCTGAGTTTCACTGCTGCTGTGTCGAATGTTCATCAGAAACAATGTGTTAGGAGAGGTTTAATAGCTTACAATCCGTGGTCGTTTGTAAGAAACCTTCTGAATTCTGTCCCACTAGAGCGTGGTAGGCTTCTGCGCATAAGCTTCTGTCGTTGTGCTTTGTCGATCAGCGTTTTTGTAGTCAGCTGGAGCTCCCCATCGAGGTTGAAAGTTGCAATCGCCACACCATGAGTTGATAAAACATGTCACCGGGGGAAAAGATAAATTGTTTTTTTTTGAGACAATAGATAATATCCGTTGTTTAAGTTGAAGGAATACATTTAAATATCGTGGGATCTTTAATGGTAGACGCACTCGGAATGTTCAGCGTATCCTTTGTTTTTCTCATCTTGTTGACCGACGTTGTTCGTTGGGGTTCAACATTCTAACATCTAGTGTGAGTGACCCTTGCTTGTGGAAGCATCTAGGTGGGTGTTGGCCGTTCACCACAACACGCAAGACCAGCATTCTATGCTACTCACCAAGCAGGCTGCCTGTTCAATTTCAATTATGGTTTCTTAATATAGCGAATGTAGTTCAAACAGCTTTGTGATCATCATGGAGTTCGGGTACTCGCATACCGTCGGTGTAAGATGGCCATGAATTTTTAGTCCTGTGGCACCACTACTATCGCACGTTTTCCCGAGGTGGCTTTTGAGTCGGGAAACCCCGTCATGACACTTACACAGATCCGTTGTAGCCGTCTCCCGATGTTTGTCGTCCTAGTTTTCGAAGGACCCAATTATCTGGTTATTTTCTTACATTTTGGCTCGCCTGTCTATGTGCCTGGGTGTATCCGTTGGTGCGAGTGTTGTGGACCACAGTTTTCTTAATACCTTCTTAATTCCTTGAACGCGAGCCTTGACACCCTGATTTGCTTAGCCAAACCAGAAAGCCAATGAACGTGCGAATCAGCTGATCTATGGAACACTGGCGAGGACAGGCATGTGTGCAGCCGAAAACAGGTTTCTTATAAAGCTTACACGAAAAGTTCTAGGCAGGCCAAAAATGGTTCTAAAAATAGAATTCAACTGTCAAGGATAATTGAAGAACAATCAGTTGAATATATCAACGAAAACGGTTATTTCATTGGCGGTCGTTTAGTTCAGTTGCGTTTGGAGCTGGTTTTCCTAGTAGCAAGTAAAAGGGTTCTGTGAGCAACCGGTGAGAACCTTACGAGGTGATCGACGAATTGTCTATGATGATGCGGTTGGCCCAGAAGTACTAAATCTCCCATGGGTTTTGAGCTAGGCCCTTTGCTAAGTGTCTGTGTCACCGTCACGGATAACAGTAACGTTTGTTTCGAGAAACGTCGTGAGAAACAAAGAAGGAAAATTATAGCGTTTGACACTAACCTCACGAGGCGTAAAATATCAAGGCTCATTATCTGTTGCACACTTCTTGACTACGGAGCAGTGTGTAACTCAGAGAGCAATAAGCCCCAGGTTTGATAACGTCGTTGTCGCTCAAATCACTCCTAGCTAGCAAGAAATTCAAGTGACTTCCTTCTTCATGAGAGATGTCACTGCTGCTACCCTGTAATCCTCTTACTGTGGCCCTGTAGGTAGTTGCTGTTTACCACGACCACCACTATATTGTTCTCACTAGACTTTATTGTAGTGATTTCCTCATTACATTTGCCCTACTTCTTTAGTTAGTTTACCGTGTTTTCTTCTTCCAGATACGACTCAAATCCGTAATGGACGCTGCTTTGAATGCCAGTCGCCAAGACACGCTACACTCAACCGGCAAGTACGTACTTTGTGTGACCGAAATCTCTGTGCCCCCACGTGATCGTTGACCTGAACTGAATGTTGACTGGCGGTTTTTGGACATACTTATTCAGCTTCACGAATCCTGCTCTCTGTTAGTTCTCCGACTAGAAATGATAGTAATTACCATTACGGTGTGCGTCCCTTCAAGAAGACACCGTGGGATTTCACTTGATGAATCTAAATAGCGACCGTAAAAGAAAACCGTTACGGTTTCGAACACTTGTCAACCGCGTCACTATCGAATAAACAAACGCCCTTATGGATATCAGAAATTTGAACTTCAGAAGTGAAGGGCCCATAATGCACAAACGAGTCACATGGAGGAGAATAGACGCAACATCTTGCTTGGGTATTTTTGCGCATAATGGTGCGGTTCAAATCGTGTCATGGATACAACTTTGGGATGGGTCAACAAACGGAGTCTCGCATTTGTTGCGACAGCAGCTGAATGTATGTCATTTCTGACAAATATAGTATTGCAACACGGCAGCTCGTGCTCCTATCCGTCAATGGGATGCTGTTCCAGTTAATGCTTTATCAGAACCAGAACGATTCAACTTCAATGAACCTACTGGACCATCACCTCCCACTTGCTGTTGTCACTCCTTATCCTTGGTCTACGAAACTGTAGCAACTGGAACAACTATATCTTCATACCTGGTTTATCTCTGTTGCGGCGAGATTGCTCAGTGGTTAGAGCGCGAATTTACTGGTTGGCTGGTCCATGGTTCGAACCCGACCTCTCCATCTAGGCTTGGGCAACTTGGCAGTATCCCAGCCCTCGTGCTTCCCTCGGGTGGCATGACAGCTAGGCACCGAAAGGGGGCTCCAACTGAATGACTGTCCATCTTAATTTCATACTTCTACAGCACGTATCTGTTCTTGAGGGCCAGAAGCACCCATTGCTCGAATTTCGGTGGACTGGACTACCTTGTTAGCTTTGGATTGTGAACTTGGATTTCTTCGTTATTTGCCTAGCGTGAAGCGATTCCTAAGACCAATGCTTTTGAGCCAGTTAAACATCTTGTCGTGCTTTGTTTCCATGACTGTATGTGTTACCATCTAATCCAACACAGGATAGCCATCAGTTAGACTTTTTCCAACCAGATGTCTGTTGGTGTTAACGGTGACGGCAGCCAGGTTTAGTCGCTTTCCAAAGATTCATCCATTTATGAGTTTGAATACGACTGACACTACATGTGACCCGATGAAACCGCTTAAATTCTCGTACTTGTGCCTCGTGCGGGTCGAGTCAACCAGATGACCACTTTTCAGCATCATCTGTTCTCCCGTCCACAGATTTGACAATCTTGAAATGGCTCTTTTCCGTGTCGGACAATCAGAGCGGTTACAGTTGGAGCGCTGGACCCTGAGGCATCACCACAAAATCGAGCCCAGTGCGTTTCTCAAGTCGGTCGTAGCTCGGTCTCATGCAAAAAAAGCAAAAGTACTAACGGAGAGTAATGTGGATGCCAACTAACAAGATTTATCTATTTTTGTATGTTTAGCTCTTTATTTAAAAATCTCCCAAAACTGTTTTGCCTTTGTCTCTATGGTTTGGTTGGGCTCGTTGCTGTGCTAGCTCTGTGAGAACGGTAGGCACTTGTGATCTCTGGGCCTTTATTTTCAATGCGGGGCGACAACCCATGCTGTTTATTCTGGTTGTTGGTTGTTGAGGTCAGAATGGAACAAGATTATTTTTATAACCAGAAGACAGATGACAACAACTGACACTTTTACCACTCAGTAAAACCATACGAGATAGAATACGGGATTTTGTTCATGGCTTGCTAAGCATGTGGTGTCCTGCACTTATCTTCCAATTAGATCTTGAACGTGATCTGTAAATGTTTACTCGTCTTCGTCTAAATCCAGCTCGCAGTTTCTCTCGCCGAGTGTTTGATTATCTGTAGCAGGAGGCAAAGTAATGTAACGGTATAAGTAGCTAGTTTTGACGGAATTTCGATTATTATATGAAATCATCTTGCAAGCTCGCTCCAGAATTTCCAAGGTAATACGAACTTTTTGGGAGCACATGCAAGTCTTCCGCACAATGTACGTCGACGAACAGCTCACTTTCATCATGTGCTATAGAAATATTGATCGCCAGGGTGTAAAGCAATCATTCTAGTTCAAAACACTTCATTTGTTTCCCATGTTGCCCGTTTGAGGGAATAATCCAGTATGGTCAAACTTAACGCTGTTGGGTGGATTTCTACTGGTAAACTTCCCCAGGGTTCTTTGATATTGCATTAAATTTTACTTCTCTAAACAGGAGTGAGCAGTATCGTTTGGTCATGTACTTAGGGGAATCGGCTAAGTCAACATTTAATGTTATACCTAACAAGGTCAACTCACTAGCTACTCATATGCCCAATAGCCAGGTCTGGTTGAAAGCTCCCGTACGAACATCGCGTCCACGGTGGCAACTCGCTTTGGGCGCTGTTCAATTCTGCTTGCGTTTCGTACGCTTCATCGCTAGCAGTACGAGTACTTTCACTGATGCTTCATTGACATATAACAACCAGGTTTATTCTAATTATATTTACTGCCTTAGAGTGGAACAAAACTTTATATGCGCCCTTTGTTGTCGGACTTATGGGGACCGATCTGTTCACGGTTGGTTTACTTGCTAACATGCATCTACAAGGCTCCATACATCGAGCATGAAATATCTGAGCGGTTAAGGTGCGAACTTAGTTCGTTGTTCCGATCCAACCTCGGCATCCCAGCCGGGACCCATCTAGGCTTGGGCAACCTGTCAGTGCTTCCATGAGGTGGTATAGTAACTAGGTATCGAAGAGCTGTCACCACTGACTGGATTGGAGCTGCACTCTTCAAAAAGCACATGTCCACGCTGAACATAAAGACGATTATTTGTGCAAACTTACCGGATTGAACCTCGTTTCGTTC